CTCTGAAAATGGTTGAGGACAAGAGGTTGGAGTCAAGGCAGCTATTATGTGAACATGAGTAGACATGCTAGAAAACCAAGCCAAAGTGCTGAGGAAGGCAGAGCAGGGAGATGCGGAGTGGTTATGTTGAATTATTCATACCTTTTTACAGGGGACAATAGATACGATTCTTCCCGTTTGTGAATCAGGTGTTGGTTCCCGACATCCACACACGTTTGCAGACGTACTCTACTGAAGGGATATTCCACACAGATGTTACCACTTTTTTTCACTGTGGCTTCTCACTGACTCAGAGGCAGTATAAATCCTCCCCTCCTTCCTTGTACTTGATTTGCTTCTGTCCAAGGCTTCTTACCTGCTTGCTCTAAGTAATGCCAGAGCCTCTGACTGGTTATTAATGGTATTTTATACTTCAGTTCTTTTGAATCATTTCTCTGGTGGGCCTCGTCCAACCCAACCAAGAATACTGGACGAGAGGAGGGGACCTTACCTACTGACTCTGAGATAAAGATGTTCTTTCTGCTCCCAGCAGAGAGCGGCATAAGCCCCCAGGAAGGGCAGGGAAGTGGTCCCTGAGGTGGCTTGTCCTGCAGGACCTGTCTTCTTTCTCTGAGCTCCTGGGTTCTGTCCCTTCTCTAAGTTCTTTTCCTTCCCCAGAGACAAACCTCAGTGGTCTGGAAGTTCTGGCTACAATGTGGGTAGATACAGCTCAATCAGCCACCCTTCCCCAGGAGTGCTGCATTTAAAAGGGAAAGGGGAATACCAAAAAAGTACGTTTTTGCCCTCCACTGTCTGGGGGCCAGGCGGCCTGACCCCTGAGCCCCAGTGAGCCTCTTGTGTCCAGCTCAGCCTGTGGCTCCGCTGAGATCCCCATGCAGAATCATACCTGACAACCGTTCACCTGGTTCAGGCCAGCTGGAGCTGGTCCAAGTCCTTGTGGGCAGACAGCTGCTGCAGCAGCTCCTTCCCAAGTCCTAAGTGGTGATTAGTAGACAGATCACAAAGCACCAAGCACTGCAGGAAGAGGTTGTGTTTGCCCTCTCCCAACCCTGTCCGAATGAAACAGCAAATCCAAAGGGATCTGGAAAGACCGGGCAGGCACGGCCTGCTGCTAGTCGGAGTGTGTGAGAGTCCCCACATTTCTAAGTTTATCTAGGACGGTGCACGGAGCCCGGTGAGATGAGTCATTCCAGGGCAGAGAAGACAAAGCCCTGGGCACTTGCAGCTTGGTCATGTTGTTTGAAGCATTTCAGATCCACAGAAAGGAGAACAAAGAGCAGAGTACTCAGGTAACAAGCAGCTGGGTAGCTCCGCCTTCCTTGAGAAGTAGACTTTGGAAGGGCCTTGGCAACTTCTGTACACTTGTCTTTTTTGAAATCTCGCTCTCCCCTCACCAAAAAGTGATATCCCCTAATTGATTTCTGTGCCACATGTAATGTACTTTTACCAAATTTGCTTGTACTCCCAAATATTTTATATTTGTGGCACATTTAACATGCACGTCCTTCTGTAACAGTCTTAGTCTTACCTAACATAGTGTCTGTGAATTCATTCCTGCTTGCCTAGTTAATTCAACCTGCTAGACCCCTGCCTCTGCCTCTGGGCATGGCTGAATCCACCTGGCTCCGCGTTTTCCATGATCCCAGGCAAAGCTGCAGGGGAATTTCTGTGCTTCAGGTCCCCGTGGACTTGCCCATTTTCTGTCTCAGGTACTTACTGGGGAAGCAGGGCACTCGCTTTTCCAAGTTACACCTGGGCAAGTCCAGGGACCATGTGAAGGAGCAGATGTGGGATCTGGAGCAGAGGTGGGCAATGGTATTTGTGGGCAGTTTGATTTTGTGGGGCCTTTGCTGACCACCCTTCTTCTGATAAAGTACCTGGATTTTCTTTTGGTGAATTATCTTTCCCTATTAGATGTGTATTGATCAGCTTTCCCACTGCTGGGACGAAATGCCTGACACCACAGTTCAAAGGCTTTATTTGGTTCATGGTTTCAGCAGCTCTTGAGTCAATCAAGTTGACAATCCAACCTGACTGACTTGAGGCACATTTTCCGTGGGGCACTCTGATAGAGATGGCCTGCCTGTCCTCACATGGAGTGAGTGAGGTGGGCCTGGGCTCTGAGTCTGAGCTGTCACTCTCTGTCCAGGAGATCTGAATCTGGGAAGGAGTGGGACATCCTGGGAAAGACCGGACTCCACTGTGGTATCCTGCCTTTGTCTCTTTTTTTGTGGAACCTCAGTGGTGACTCAATTCATTGCTTCTAAGATTGGTCTTTCACCTCCCTTTCCTTTGCTGAGCTAACCCATAGCTCCTTGGGAGATAGTGACCTCTATGTAAGAAAATTCATCCCAGGCCACAATCTGCATTTATCTAGCATCTTTGTCGAGCTACACATTGTGTTAATGTAGCAGAGATATCCTGGGCCCTTTTCAGAGGCCCTGTTAAAAGCTTGAACTGAATTTTCATAAGGGACTGTAGTTCATCAAAATGAGCAGGATGAGAAAGTGCCCTGTGTATGCCTCTTCCACGAGAAAGAAATTTCGGTTGCGGTCATTGTCTCTGTACCTTCCTCTGCAGCAGCTTTATAGAGAAATAATAGTCCCTTGATGTGAGGCAAGTGACATAGTTCGTGAGCACATGGCTTGACCATGCCAACCTGAGAGCTCATCAGCAGTGACTGGAGAGTTCATACACTCAGTGACTCAAGAAACCCCATAAACCATTGGCCAATCGTTTCAAATTCATTTTCCAAACACGAATAGATGAGCCTGAAAAGCACAGATGGCACTTTGGAAGAGGTCGCTGTGGGTTACAGCACATTCTGAATTTGTTTCCAGTGTAATATAAGGAGAAAGTGAATTTATCTCATAAAGGAGACTGGGTGCTGACAACAGGTGTTCTTTAACCCCTGCATCTCTATCACTTTACACTAATAACAGAACAACACCAGCTTCCATTTTTATTTGGGAACTTCCCCCTTCAATACATATGATCTGAGAGAGGGGAAGCCATTACCCAGAGTTAAGCCAATCACCATGGGGCATTTCTAGGGCTAAGCCAATCAGTGTGGGACAAGCACATGACCTGTGTTGGCCCAATCAGAACACATCTCAGCTCTTCCTCTGAACTCGTGGTTCTTCTCTTCTCTGTGGGCCCAACCTTGGAAGATAGGGCTGCATTTGCCACGTCCACCTTGGCACTTAGCCTGCTGACCAGGTGAATATAGTACTAAAGCCTCAGAGAAACTAAGTCATATTGAACTGTGTCTAGAATTTAGCTATGCCTGGACAATACTTAGATGTTAAGCTTTGGGCGATACAGTCCCTTACTTGCTGAAACTGTTTCCTTCTTTGCCCACTGCCTACAGAAAGAAAGTCCTGAGACACACCCTGGGGTGAACACAGCCGCCAAGGTAACACAGCCTCAGTTTCTCCATCTCTTACGAGGAGATAGTTGATTGAGAAGCTTCAGCATCCACTGCCAGCAGCTCGGCCCTGGTGCTTGGGTTCTGGGTGATTCTTCAAGATCTGTCTGAGCATGTGAACGTGAGACCAGAGGTGCTGGGTTCAAATCTCTGTATCACCAGAGGTGACTTTGGGCAATTTACTCAAGGCTTCTGCGTCTCACTGATCTCACCTATAAAGTGGATCTGAGGAAATCCAGCCTTCATTAGACTGTTGGGGGAAATGAAGTTGTGCGCAGTGGTTACAAGAGTGCCTGGCACAGAGCGACACGGTGTCAGTGTGACTCTCATGGCCATCATGTTGGTATTTAGATTGATGATCCCTGTCCAGAACCTCTCTCCACCCTGTGGTTGCCTCCCTTCCACAGTGCCCATCTGTCTTGCTGTATTATTTCCCGCAGCCTTGTCCTGCTTAGTGGTCCAACAGTGTGACGATTTCTCTCTCCAATGTCACGGGTACCTGATCAGAGAAGTCACTACAGGTCATTGATAAACGGGTTTTACCTTCAGACTGGAGAATCATGACTGCTTCTGTGCACCGCCCCTCAATGTATAAATATCTTCATGCACATGATCATTGCAGTGTACACTTGGTGGCTACTCAGAATCCATCACACCACCTTTGAGTAACCAAATCACAGTTTTCCCTGAGAAATCATTCTGTGAAATCATCACTCTCATCCAGTATCTGGCTCAACCCTGAGTAACAGAGGGACTGAAACCGTTAGGAATCCTCTTCTCAGCCACTCTGATTGGTCCAAGGATGAGCATGTGACCCACTCAAGGCCAATGAGGTGCAAGGAGGTTTTCACTGTGACTTTTGAGAGAGGCAGAGATTCTTCTTTTCTGGGCTATAATGATTCATCATGGTCTTCTGCTCTGGCTACAGGAGATGCTCTCAAGGAATGTCTCTGAGAGGAAGAAGGACAGAGAGAGACAAAGAGACACCAGTCAGACCATGATGACTCATTATAGCCTCTGGATCTAGCTGTGCCTGAAACCAACAAGCTATTCCAGCATGTTTCAGTTATCTATGCTTGAAATTCCCTTCATTTAAAGCTAGTTAACTCAGGTTTTTCTGTTGCATACAAACAAGAGACCCAATTGATAAAATCTTTCAGTTATCTAAGATCTCTCACTTCACATGGCATGTGCAGTGATTCAGCCCGAAAGAAGTAGTAAGGATGGCACCGAGGCACACAACAGTTGAAGAAGAAGGCAGTGGCATGGGGAAGGTCTCTGAAATCACGCCAGAAGGCTGGTCCCTAACTGGTCTCTAGATTACCTGATTCACTGAGAAGAGTCATCCTGTTATCAAGTCCCTGCCTTTATTTCTTTTGAAAGTGATACCCTGCACTATTAGACAGTACCCACATTGTTTTAGGTGGTTTCAGCCAGGCCTACAGTGGAGAAAATTGAGAAAAAGTTAAGACTAGACCATCACGTGTGATGCTGTCTGGCTTGAGGGTTATACACATGGGACTGCCATTATTCAGGACATTGATGGTGCATGGAGCCTCCCCCCCCCCCTGCTTTGGGTGTCTGAACTGCCAGGCCTCAGAAGGATAAGGAAACGGTCCTTATGGAGGGAAAAACATCTTCTGGTCCCCAGGTAAGAATTACAGCTACTCTACCACCATTGATAGAAAACATCAGTGTGAAAATGGAGGATTTTTCTCTTTAATGTGTAAATGAGCTGCTTGGTTAAAGAAGCAAGGGTTCCCATCAGTCTTGAGAACTGGCTACTCATGCTGGGAGCTGGACCACACAGGTCAGATGTACTTCAGTGGGACAATAGGGCAAGTCATTTGGGACGGGTTCACCCATTTTCCTGACTTTCCTGGGCGATTCCTCACTTTGTATGGTTTCTCTTAGCAGGATATGGTGTTTCTGTTGGACAACATTCCCACTTACATTCTTACTTGATACCAAATGTTGATCGATACCAGGCCTGCTGATGGGTGAAAGCTTCTGACCCTGACCCAGGGTCAGAGCAGAAATGGGATTTTGGAGAAAGTTCACAAGGGTCATGGAAGGCAAGACTCTGGAAGAGTCATAGACTTAATATTCAAAGGTCCTTGGAAAGTAGCAAAAACCAACAGGGTAATGGATCCCTAGGTCTTTTCTGAAACCCAGTCAGAGGAGAGAATGAAAATCTGTCAGTTTGAGGAATTTATTCCAAAAAGACATGCAAAAATTTGACTTGACAAAGGAAAGCAGGTTTTGTAAATGAAAACGAAATGCTTACAAAGACAAGCTAAATAAAGAGTAGCTTTGCATTTCATAGATTTAAATGTCTGAGCTTTCAACTACAGACCGTCTTTGACTTACAAGGGCTAAACTCGTGGTTTCTTGAGTTTAGGATGTTGCAAGAGTTATACACATGGTCTTAGCTACTTTTCTCTTGCTGCTGAGACAAAATACCTGACACCCAAAGTCAAAGGGGGAAAGGTTTTTTTAGCTCACAGTCTATACAGGTTTCAGCTCATAATTAGCTGGCCTCAAGGCAGGGTGGCATGGCAAAAGGGCAATAGTTCATAGTGGCAGATGAGCTTCTTTTCCTCCTTTATACTGTATATAGTCTGTGGGTCCTAGGGTGGGTGTAACTCTCACAGCCCTGATCCCAGAACTACACAATGAACAAATCAGAAACTCTAGATTTAGCCACCTCTGAAAAATCTGCCCCCCATGACCACATGAGGTTTTGGGGGGACATCCAGACACAAATCATAACACAAATTTAGTAGAAACCATATTTTGGTTATTGCACCTGGATCTTCTCCCATCTAGCATGCTGTTTGATAGGCATTCTTTTATGATGCTGAGCAGTATCAGTGAGTTGAGATCCTGGGAAGCCCTGTGATTGCAAGATGAGCCATTGATATGTTACAGGGTTCCCTGCTGCTGTGCTAGGACATGTGGCAGACTAGATGTGTGAAATGCATTTTTGATTTAAGATATTCCAATTTGCGATAGGTTCTTTGGATGGAACCCCATTACGGGTCAAGGAACGACTGTGTTGCAAATGACTCTTGATATTACTCAGGATGGGTGAGGGTCTGCTGCAGTAACAAATAACACCAAAATCTCAGGCATGTAAAGGAAGAAGGCTGCATTTACACCTCAGGGTCCACAGGAAATTCTGTGCATTGGGTTCCAGACTCAGAGCAGTTCCATGTTGGCATGTCCTTCTATAATCACTGAGGAAGATAAGATGGCCCAGTGGTGACTGGCTTTTACATTATTTGCCCATGAGAGACACTATGATTTCCTCTCATGTGGCATGGGCAAAGTCAGAGGGTGAGGAAGAGCTTGAACTAGTTGGGGAACAGCAGTCACGGTGGGTGACCAGACCTTGTCCCATGAAGCAACGTGTGGCAGGGCTCATGCAGGGACCCAGCCCCTACTCGGGATCTGGATGCCAGGAAGGCCTGGGCTTCCCACCTTCTATCAGTGCTTCTCCACAGGGGATATAAATGCAGGCTCCTCATGGAAAAATTAGTCCTGAAGACAGAGTTCATTTCTAGTTATGGAAGCAAAGAGCAAGGCATGGCAGATGAAGGAGTTGGATTCTAAGGTAGAAAACGGACCTTCTGTGAAAAATTAGAGCATCAAATGCAAAGGACAAAAGCGACAATGCTGTGTAAAGGACAGTGGTCTAAATGTTGGTATTTTGCAGTGAAACTATTCCCTCATCCTTCCAAGTGTATCCACTGGAAGCCAAGTCTCATAGCTGTTTAATGTATGCTATTCTTTTATGTAATAACAAGGTTTTCTTAAGAGTAGAACTGTCATCCTGTTTTCTCCTTGAATTATCTCTTCCTTTTTCTTGGTGGTGGTACTGGGGATTGAACCCAGGGATGCTCTACCATCGAATTGCATACTCATTCCTTTCTAATTTTATTTTGAGGCTGGGTTTTGATAAGTTACCTAGGTTGGACTTATACTTGTGATGCTCCTGCCTCAGCTTCCTGAATAGCTGGAATTACAGGCAAGTGTCACCATGCCAAGCCATCATATTTTAGTATATTTTGTCCTACTAATTGTTTTAATTTTGTTCACTGTGTTTAGAATCTCATCTGGACTGTTGTCATTTGTTACACTCAAGTGATCAAAACAACATAAAATATAGAAAAATTTGATAAATAATTATTAGATACCAAAGCATATTTTATTGGAAATGCACATCTTGAGAAAGTGGATGGAGGTGGTTGTGGCATTTTAAGTTCTGATCCCAGACCTCACTGTTCCCAGCTGCTCCCTGCTGAATGTGTGGGACGAGGGGGTCAACTGACCTGGGAAGGAAGCCCCATGGGAAGGCTCTGCAGCACTGAAGACTTTTCTTCTAAAATTGGAAAAGATTTTTCTTTGGTTGTGAAGAGGGAGATGGGAAGGAAGAGCATCAGGCATGTAGGGAATGATGACATGCTGACTTCACGTGTCTGTGCCGTGTCCTTGAGCTGTGCTTCAGTGTCCCTGGGGGCAAGGCAGCCTCACTGGAAACACCTTCCTCTCCCTCTCTTTCCTGGGCTGGCTTCCTCCTCAGCCCGTGTGTGCAGCATCTGCAGGTTGCTCTTAGCCTGTGCTACTGTCCCCAGAGATGCTTCTAGCTGGCTCAGGGAAGGAGCTGGCCTCCACCTCCACCCCTGCCATGCTGCCAAGGACACGGTGAGGTGTACTTTGTCTTGGGGTGCTGCTCCTCACCCTACCTCGCTTCTCACTGGACACCCCCTCTTCACCCAGCTTCATTCTCCCTCCCCTCCCTTTTCTTCTCCTTGAAATCATTATCCCCAAACCAAGCCTTGAATGTTACTTGCATAAAACCACTACACAGGGGAGCAAGAGTAAGGTTTCTTTAAGGACCTGGCCAGTCTTTGACAAATGGAGCTGCTCTCAGGGAGAACAAACTGCTCCTGTTATATTAAAGTTTCGCGGCAGGCAGTAGGTATTTGCACCGGGCCACCAAATATACAAGGGTCGAAGCAGATGAATTTCCTTCCCAAACCACTAAAATGAAAAGACAGCTGCAAATTAGGTTTGAAATGGACATCCTCGTCCTCAGAGATTTCACAATGACAAATGAATTATTCCCCAAGTGGAACGCAAACCTACTTTGTTTTCAGAGAAGCGAAGAGGACTAATAAAGACAGCGTCTCTGCAACCCCGAATTGCGGGCCCTGTCATCCTCTGTTTAATAGCCCGGCGCTACTCTGCCGAGCTTCTTAATTAAGGCACAATAAGAACTGACCCTTAGAAACGCTTTCAAACACCTGAGTCCTTGGGTTTGTTTATTAATTAATATTTAATTTTCCTTCACTTAAAATTAAACCTTTCTAATTCTTATATTATTATTTGTTCTTTTCTAATTAACAGTGGTTCCAAGGAATGGCTTGTCCCCTTATATTCTTGGCTCCTGCCATGCCATCGTACACAACACTGAGAGAAATACATATGCAGGTAAATGACGGCAATCTGTAGGAAAATTTTGGCTACTCTTTATAGCAGCATGCTTGCCAAGTAGAAAGTGGGATACTCCGTAATCTCAGCCTCACACCCAGAATCTTAACCTTCCTCTTTTCACTCTGAGTCCACCTCAGTCAGAAAAGGTATCTACATGCCGTAATAACAAATAGCTCCCAAATTTTATTCTTATAACACATCAACATTCACTTTTAATTTTAATTTCCTGCCCAACCTGGGGAATTGAACCCAGGCCTTCCCTCTGCTAGGCAAACACTCTATTACTGAGCCACATCCTCAGCTCTTTTTTTTAAAAAAGAAATTTTATTCTGAAACAAGGTGTCACGGAAGTGCCCTGGTTGACCTTGAACTAGTGATCCTGCTTCTTCAACCTCCCGATTTTAAATTCTTATGCAAAGCGGACTGTGGGTTCAGGTGTCCCTTGTGGATGATGTACTATCTATGGACCCAGCCATCATCTTTTGCTACCAATGGAAACAAGACCAGGCCAAATTGTGCAAGCATGCCCACTCTTACACAGGCAAAATTTGGAGAGGGGCCACTCAGCTGAAAAGGGGGCCAGCATTAGTCAAAAGAGGGACTAAGCTGCTCTCAGAACAAAGACAGCAGCAAGTTTTTACTGATTTGCTGCGGGTGGCTAATGTGTGGTATTTTCCACTAGTCAGGGGAACAGTTGCAGATAGTGTTTCTTCTTGTGATGGAGTTGGACCAGTTGGTCACTGCATTTGTCCGAGGGGATGTTGAATTTTTGTAGCTAGTGCCATCACCCTATACAAATCATCCCAGCCTTGTGGGTCTGGGCTCCATAATAGTATGGAAGGACTTTAGCTGTTTGGACTTTAGTGGCTTCCAAAGAAGCACAAAGGTAGGAGCAGAAAAGAAGGGAGAGGGAAAGAAAATAAAACACAAACCAGCTCCAATGGGCAGTGCACCAAATTAACCCTGTATTATTGTCTTGGGCAGAACATTTAAAAATGATTGTCAAAGCTACACGAGGAGCTGAGTTGAATCTGACTCAAGGGTTAAGACAGCAAAGAAGACAGACATAATATGAAGGCAGAGATGCCAAGGTTTTATCCCATTTTAATCACCCATCAGACATCTGCAGGCCAAGTGAAGAGTCAGTGTTTCAGTGAAAGCAGCCTTCAGGTTCCTGAGAAGTAGCCTAGGCAACCGTAATCATAACCCGTGTATCCACAGCTGTTATTGACAGCAAGGCTAGAGCGAAGCCAATAAAGAATGGCCCAGCTGTGCGGTCTCCAAAATGAGTGATTCTTAAGTTGCCTAAGAGCAAGTGAAGCCAGAGGTCTTATTTAGGTTTCTCCTGGGTGACAATTTCTCATTTCATGCACACATTGTGCTTCTGTGGTTTTACCATAGTCTCATCATGGGTCTGTTAAAAAGAGCACCAGGGGAGAGAAGCAACGTGCTGTGCTACAAAGGGTAGTCGTTTGCCTTGCCCAGGACTTATTTTCTCCTCCCGGCCTCTTACCACTGTGGTGGTCCGTTATCTGTCTTGTGGCCTCACAGGACCAGCGTCCACTGTGCAGAGCAGAGCCCTGTGCACACAGGATGCTTCAGTCTGAAGGGACAAGTGATGCTGCTTCCATCCACACTAATCCATCTAGAACATTCCCCATGGTCCCACCTAACTGGGAGGGAGGAGAACTGGCATCCTCTTATCTCTCCAGCCATGCAGGAGCGATCCAAGTTTCTATCATTCCTCTTCCACAAATAGTGCCATATCTGAGACCTGCCTGTAAAAAAATATTCTGGACCACGAATGCTTTCACAGTATAGGACAAACATTTTTCCAAAAAGGAAATAAGCAATTGTTGGTTTTCCTTTTATTTTACATAATGCAGTGCCAACGTCCTCTTACCTGGAACAGAGAGCATGCGTTGTAAATACCCCCTGAGCGAACTAATGAAACAGAAAGGGATGGGGGCCGGGCAGGGCCTCACCTCTTGCATCCATGGAGCCTCTTGGGACACCGACTGTGCTTTGCTCTGGGAGGAGAGGGACCCAGATTCAGGTGCTGCCTCTGCAGATAGCTCTGTCAGTCTGAATGAGACCCAAAGCGCCGTGGACAGGGTCCCTTTGCAACGTGCATGTCATGGAGACAGGGCCCACAACTACTGTGGCTGTCGTGAGGGAAACCATGTGCCAGTGTGGGGATGGTGCTGGGAGGGCAGAGAAGCGCCCTGAAATTGTCTGGGGTTCGGAACTCAGTGCAGGATTGAACTTTCTGTTGGGCAGCCAGGAAGGAGGAAGAGTCTGGCTTGATGTGTGTTGGGGACACATGGATTAGGTGAATACAGTGAAGGAGTTGCTTTGCTTTGAATGTGTCCCCCCAAATTCAACAGGACTGGGAGGCGCCGTCTGGTGGGAAGCATTTAGGCTATGCGGGCAGAGCCGTGGTGTTTAGTGCTGCTATAAAAGGGATAAAAGAGAGAGAGGATTCATTCTCTTCTGCTTCTTTTCTACCTTTCTGCCGAATAGAGACCAGCGTTCTTCCTCTGCTGGTCACTGGCCCTGCTGGACTTCCGGTCTCCACAACTGTGAGAAATAAATGGCTGTTCTTTTTTTTTTTTAGGTGCTGGGGAACACAGATATTTAGAATGCTTTCATTTATTAGTGCTACTGCTTCAACTTATCAACTCAAATCTTGGTTTAAAGCCACAAGATTTATTACCTGCTCAAATACCTGTCCATGTTGGAGGTAGGAGCTCGACCTGTAGGATCTTCTACCATGGAGGATCAGAAAAGGACACCAGGGAAGGAAACACTGCATCTTATAGATGCCAACCCCAGAGTGACACCCTTCACATTATCTCACGTAGCACTGGCCAAAGTGACAGTCACACAGCCGCCCTCGCCTTCCCTGGGAGGAAGAAGCTCAATACTACGGCACACCTGTCTTCTCCGCCCACTCTTTGTGTGACCGTGGGCAAGTCATTCATTTTCCAGTGCCTTGATTTCCTTGTTTGCTGAGAAGTGAGGTACAGCAACCCTTTGCTCAGAGGGTTGTTCTGAGAATCAAATGTGAGATATACAAAAGTGTTAGTTATCACGATGATCTCATCCATCCTTAGACAATATAAAGTATTATTTATATGTATGTGTTTAACACTGATAACTTACTGCATGTCCAATGCTAGTAGAAATTCATGATCTAATGAAAAACAAAATTTATATGTGTATATAAGGATAGCTGGAATAGGCATATTGCTGGTTCTGCAGTTTATCGAGAGGAACAGTTAATGCTTAAAATTTTCTCCTTTTTTTTGACCAATTAGAATGACTGATCTGAAAACAATATGCAGTACAAGAACCTTTGCTGAGCTCCTACCATTTTGTATGGTGAAGCTCTGCATCATTTCCAATGTTTTTTAAAAATTATTTTTATCTATTTTTTTTTAATTTGTTACTGTCTTTGATTGTTTGATCAATCTTACATTCTTATGTCTAATGGACTGAGCAATTTTGTTGACGATAACAGAATGTAATCTAGCAACCACTGTAAATTTCTATCTTTTGTCTTGAGGTCATGTATCATTCTTGTTGTTTTTGTGTTGTTTTGATTTTGCCTTCATTGTTGTTTTGTCAGTTTTTAATTTTTAAAATAAAAAAAAATGTACAAGAAAAAAAAGAAATTCATGATCTGTCTGAAATGATAATCTTCTACTTTATCCCACAACTACACACACACACACACACACACACACACACACGCCAACATATACAAGCCACCATTTCATTCCATCTCCATGAAAAGTTTATGCCACAGTTTTATTGCTTTTGGCTCAAGGCCAATTAGCAATTAAAGAAAATAACGGTGGGTTCCTGTTCGTCGTTTCCTCATTGGAGCAGGAGCCAACGGGCTGCTGTCTTGGTAGCTCTTGTCCATGTGCCCGGTGGCCCTGGGCAATATGATATCTGCGATGACCACACATGAATCAGGGGCTCAGGTGCCCAAGCAGTGACCTGAAAAGCCAGAGTCCAGATATCAGGGGCGAGAGAGCAGAGTGAGGTAAGAGCAGAGTGAGGTAAGGCCCTTGGGGTGTTCTGGGGAGTCAGAGCTGAAGAGTGGAGGGCACGAGGGAGGGAAGTGGTAGAAGCCATGTTCTGGATGGAGGAGCTTGGGGAAGATACTGCGGTCCAAGGGAAGGCAGAGGTCAGGAAAAGGGAGGCCCAGGCACCAAAGGCTACCATAGGACTTCAGACTGACTCTGGAGGATGACACACCTGGAAGGAGGCAAGACAGACAGAACAGCCATCTCTGTGCCGGCCCCGTGCTCACCCCACTTCCAGGGGCCAGGACTCCGGCCTTGCTCTGGGAACTATACCTCTCCTGGTCTCTGTGGAACACCAGGGTGATCACATAACTCAGGATTGGCCAATCAGGCATCATATGCTACTGGCCACATGACTGGCTCAGAATTGGTGAGACCCAGTCAGGGCCAGTCACAACCAACCCTGGGCCTGTGCTAGAGGGGCAGGAAGAGGAGGCCTCAGAGGGACCTGGGATGGAAGATGGACACTTCTGGTGCCACCATGCGGATAATATGAACACTACTGTGAAGAGAAAAAAAATTTCTGAGATGAAAAGAAAAAGAGAGCAAGTCCTAGTTCCTGGATTTAGATACGCTCAGAAACAGCTCCTCATCGCTGCCCTTTCCCTTGTCACGAGACAAGTACAACCCTTTCTTTGTTTAAACCAGCTGACATGCGTTTTCTTCGCAGCCAAGGACTCCTAAAAGATGTATCTCTTTGAAGAGCTGGTGTTCTTTTCCTGTACGGGAAGAGCAGCATAGTCACTCTGCACAGATTTGGCAGATATTCATGACCCAACTAGGATCAATTCTATTGAATGCTCCAAAATCACATTTTAATTCAATTTCCCCCAAGAAATCCTATGTTCATTTACCCCTGAAAAGCGTGCATCTCTGAGCAGCCTCCCCAGTGTGTGTCATACCAATTTTTCCCTTTGGCCGCCGGCCCCTGATTTATTAATGTCACATGCAGCGTCGTGACGCCCAGCCCAAACAGCCGCTCCACGGCCAGTCACCGTGTGGTCGATGTTGATGACAGAAATTACTAATTGAAACCCTAGAATTTGTTTACTCTGAATGCATTAAAGTGGTAGTTATCAAATTGGAACTGTATTACTTCTTAAATTACTTTAGAAACAAAATCAATAGTTTATTTCTCACAGTGGAGAAAAGACAAAGATGGAAAAAAAAGTGCTCTGAGGAACGCATTCCAAGCTTCCTTTGGAAAGGTACAGTGTTGCTAGGCGAAGAATAAACAAGGTATACGGTGGCCTGGAAGGACACCCCTCCCGCCCAGTACAACCTTGTTCATTTCTTGGCTTCTTCTTATACTGTTTTTTAAATTAAGTTTTTGGAATTATTAATATATTGACTCCAATTCAGGCTCCGGGAGCAAACTTTGAGCTAATTCAGACGCTTACTTTTTATAAATGGCTTTTTTTAACATTTGAAATTTCTGAGTTTCTACCCCAACTCAATGTTCCTCTGTCTTCCGTGGAAGGTTTGTCCCCCGAGGGACATCACGCATAGCATTACTCCCAGCTGCATAGACTCCAAAGAGTCTACCTCGCTGTCCCTCCCCGAGAGTCCCCAACACCATTTATTTAGAACTCACTCTCTCTGTGAGAGCCTGGCAGGCCCGGGGCTGAGACCTCACACGTGATCAGCTCCTCCCTTGCTGGCCTGAACCGCCAGTGGGTACAGTGTAGCCTCCACCCAAGTGTCTGACATGCAGGGTCCCTTCCTGCCCGCCTCCCAGGGACAGCTGAAAGACTTCGCTGATAGAAAATACTTAATTTTTTTTCAAAAGAAGAGGAGTGGAGTGTACATCCACGGAAAGTCCCATCCATAATGTGTTCTCACAAATTTGAAACATCACAAGGGAGAGGAGAACGAGTCCCTGGGAAATAGCATTGATACTAGTGACCAGTACGATAGGATTTGACTGCCTGGGGAGTGGAGGGTTGGTCACAGACAGGGAAGGTCTGGTCTCTAGGCCCTGTGAGAAGTGGTGTGGTGTGGGGTGGGAGAGATAGGTCAAGCCAAGGTAGAAAGGATGTGCGCAGAATGCTCTGGCAGACTGTGGTGACTCTTTCTCCATTTCTGGGTTTTCCTTCTTTTGTATTAGAGACCTTCCTTGTCACAGGCCATGTACAGTGAAAACCACATTTCCCATCCAGGCATGCTGGTGAATGTGGCTACTATATTCTAGTTGGTGGAACATAAACCTAAGGGCAGCGTTCAGATTCTGAACAATATCCTAGCGAGAGGGTGCATTCCCTCCCCCATCACCGTCCCCTTCCTGCTGGCTGGAGCAGGCTCGGGCGTCCTGACTGCAGCAGGCACCTGGAGGCACAGTGAGAAGCCTGATGCTAAGCAACCAGATAAGGGCCCAGTCCTTGATATCAGCGCAGCCCCTCTACTAGCCTTGGACTGTTTGTATTTATATGACACAGAAATACATTTTTATCGTGTTTGGGGGAAACTCATAACCAAAAGATTATGTCGAATCTCATCTTAGTGGGTGCTGCTATGCTAGGAATCTCAGGGAGATTCCCAAGTGTGTGGGCAGCTCCAGACTGATTCCAAGTGCAGAGCAAAACTCCTGGGACTGCAGGCTGGGTTGTGGCCAAACTGGCAGAGGTATTTGGCTTTGAGAAAGGTGCTGTAGGTGAGTACTGTGCTGTGCTATGATATCTCCAGGCCTTCAGAACTTTGCAGCTCTATTATAATATAATCAGTATGCAGTGTGCCACTGACCTAAATATCATTGTGGCGTGCACGACTTTCTGTGTAGGGTACTTGGCTCACGTGAGTGTGCAACGGTTATTTGCAGAGTGACAGCAGGAAGAGATCACAGTGTGAATATCACCATAGAAGCAGAGCAGCCAGGAATGGGCACTGGAGCTAGACCCTCTGTATCTAGATGTCCCAGATCGATGTCTAAAGGTTAAGTTCAAGAGCCAGGGGCCGGCCTGGAGTCATCAGTGCTGTGGTTGCTGTGGCTGAGAACATCTGAGTATCAGCAGGTTGCTCTGACTGCCTGTGGCAGGACTCCAGGGTCCCTCAGTCTCCTGGCTCTCCCCAAATCTCCATGGCAACCTTTTCTCCATACAGTCAAATCCGATCCAACTCTGCTTCAGGTCCCCATTTGCCCTTGGCACCTTAAGAGTCCCACTGTGATGGCCTCAGGCCCTAGCGCTCTTCTCTGACAGCACACAGCTACCCGGATGCTGGGTACTCAGCCATCCCCCGGCTTCCCGGGGACCCATAGTTATTTCATCCCCTGTTTCCCAGCATGCAATGTTTCCCAGAAGCTCTGACACCTGCTGAATTCTGCAGATTCCTCTCCGAGTGTGGCATCCAACTTTAAAAATCATGTCCCTATCATCTACATTTTATCATAAGTTTAAATATATGTTTAAATATAACTGTATACATTTATATGTTGTATATGAACATTTAAAGATGTTTATATGAAATAAACAATGGATATAATTTTGGCATACTATAAACATTGATATTTTAAGAGAAAACAATAAAATGTTTCAAGTATGTATATATAACTGAGCTCAATACCACCGTGATTTAATTCTCACTATAATTGATGTATTAAAAAATATACACACAAGCCTCACTTTGTTGGAATTTTGCATTACTTTTTTTTCTATTTGAAAGTCTACTGTTCTGGCAGAATTTGATCTTAATGTAGCATATTTTTATTCTTCAAAGGCTTTTATTGATTGCTCTATCACCTTTCACTGTCTGCCACAAAAATGTGCTCATAAATTAAAATTGAAAATTGAAAAACTGTCTGTGGCTAGAGTCTAAATTTTAAAATAAGTTCTTTTTAATTGAGTTCTCATTATGGTTGTTGGTAGAACACAATTGGTTAAAACCACGTGCATATGTCACAAATTATGATAAAGAATTCTTAATCCTAAAAAAGTAAAGTTCTTTGAGACATACTTCTCTTCGTGTGCTAAGGGGACTGTTTTTACACTGCATATAGTCATGAATGACTATTGCTTGTTATTTTAAGGAGACAGGTTTCATCACCAATTGTACTTACAGTCCTCTGCTTTATTGGCGTGAGCATCGAGTGCCTGTTCACATAAAGAAGCAGATGGGAGCGGAAGGGTTTCAGCTGTATGTCACTCCATCCCTTGGACCCCTTCCAAGTTATATGACAAAAATCGCATAGCAATTTATCATAAAA